CATCAAAACATGATTGCAAACTCCATGGGGGGAGGAAAGGAGAGAGAGAGAGAGAGAGAGAGAGAGAGAGAGAGAGAGAGAGAGAGAGAGAGAGAGAGAGAGAGAGAGAGAGAGAGAGAGATTCAGCCTGTCCACCTTTGAAAAGAATCCTGAAAAATATCGTGAGAATTCTAGTTCATCTACAGACAGTCTCCTTCCTATTTCTCCCTTCACTGCTCTCATTCTATTTGGAAGTGTGGGGTTTGGCAGTTCTTTTTAACTCCTGTGTGTGTGTGTGTGTGTGTGTGTGTGTGTGTGTGTGTGTGTGTATGCACACGCCCCCTTTGAGAATCTAATAAAAACTGTGGACCTTCTTCCCGGAAGATTACTCATGAACATCCATCATTTTCTCAGGGTTTCAAGGTGTTTGCAGCCTTGCCCAGAGCCTCACCATGGACCCAGTGTAAGAGATTCCACGCCATTCTTTCCTCTCAGCACACAGATGTTTCCTGTGGAAAGAGGGAGTCCTAAGGCAGGCCTGAAAATTAGGAACTGATTTTATAGACACATGCTAATTACGTGGGCGCTTTTCTTTGGGGTTGACATTAGTCATAACCTCTGCTCACCAGTCGACTGGCAAACCTTGAGCCTTAGCTATTGAGGCTTACAGGATCTCCTGGTTCAATTCCCAGGGAATCAGACCACATGCCTGTCCAGAAACACAGGGTGGACTCTCTGTAGAAAGCCCAGTGCCCAGTACTGGCAGCACACTCGCCAGCCCTCCAGCCTGACTCTGTGAAAGGAGCTTTATTAACAAGGCCAAACCCAGGGCTGTTTAGAGGCCTGGGCCACTTCCATTTTTCAAGGCTCTTGATATATTGAGAGATGAAAAGATGCCAAAACAGGGTTATGAAAACAGCGGTATACTTTAAATGTTTACCCTTAACAACTTAATGCCTTTAATACTAGAAACATATAATTGTGCCATTCATAAGTTAATTACAGGATTTATAAAAATGTGAATTTATGGTTCACTACAGACAGTGTGGTCCAGCCATGGGACCCGAGTTCAGAGTTGTGCAGTGTGAGTCTCCCTCTTTGAATCCCGTCTCCTGTGATTGTGTGTGTAACCTCATTTGGAAATGGCTTCAAAGCTCTCAGTTTAAAAGTCTTTTTGAAAGTGGTGCTAAAAGACCCATCGCCTCCCACTAGGGTTGCGACAGAGAGCTTGGAGGAGGAGCTGGGGTTGTCCCTTCTCTAAAAGCCCCTGCCTTCTCCCTTTCTCCTTCCTTCTGAGGGAACCCATGCTCGTTCACTACTTCAACAGCACAGCTAGTGGTTGACCCCTGGACTTTTCGAAGACAAAGATCTAACCAGCATTGCCCAATAGGAAGGGTGCCAAAAATGGTCACTGTCTTCTCTTAGTGATATCTGCACTTTGAATCTTTTGAAAATTTGCTGCTTCTTCTCAAGATTCACTTAAAATTCCAAATGAGATTTTTTGTTTCAGGAGTAGTTCTTTGATCTACATTCACCTTTGGAATAAACCATACCTACCAGGATCCTAATGGTGGGAGTGGGGGGGTGCAAAAGAGAGGCTGGTAAGAGCAGTTCTTAGCGAGGGACAGTTCGGGACCTCCAGGGGAAGGATGAGCAGGCGTTGGGAGAGGGGCAGCATCCCCTTTACCCTGAGCAGTCTCTGGACTCAGTGAATTGAAATCAACAGCTAAACACCTTGCTCAGCTCAACTTTGCAAAAACGCCTGGAGGCTTTTAATGGACATGTTAATTTTAGCCAGTGAGACAAAGCACGCTTTTAAAGAGCGATTATTGTTTCCTTTGACATTTTTCTGATTCGATATTCATCTTAGTAATATTTGTCCACTTGAAGATCAGAAGGAAGTGGTTTAGTGTTTAGCACTCAGATCATCACAGGGGATTCTATTCTTTCATTTGCACTCGCCTGACTGTCTGCCATCTACCCAACCACCCATCAAATCATCCATCCATCCACCCACCCATCTATATACATCTAACCAACCAACCAATGACAGCCAGCCAGCCAACTAACCGCCAACCAACAAGCCAAACAAACAACCAATGACAGCCAGCCAGCCAACCAACCAGCCAACCAAACAAACAAACAACCAATGACAGACAGACAGCCAACCAAACAAACAAGCAAGCAAACAAACTTCTTTCTGAATGCCAGGCATCCCGTTGTTCTGAGCACTACAAGCAGATTTTATTTTTGCTCATTGATGTGATATCCTGACAGATTTTGATCAAACGTTTGTTTAATGCTACCTTCATAGCTTAGATGGGTTTAAATAACTAGCATTCTCTTTCTCTTTAAGTTTTGATATTTTTGAATAGGATGCAAAGAAAGACTAGATGGAAAAGTCTACAGGTTTGGGTACCAGAAGAAATAAATGTCTTGATTTGTATTGCACACACCTCTTTCCTATTATAAGTGACTTGAGGATAGAAGTTGAACCTATGTTTTTAATGTGTTACCTCAAACACAGCAGTTGGCACATGGCAGCTATTAACCAAATGTCTGTTCAAGGAATTCTTACTGGGAGGCGAAAGGTCTAGATCTGAGCTCCACCATTAGTACCATCTCCTATGATCCTTGGCACTTGGTCTTCTGGGTCTTGAGGCACAGGATGAGTGGCCTCAGCTCTTACTGCAGCACTTGCCTCCTGAGTCAGAGACTGATGGCCTATGGTGTTTGTTTAGTTTGTCTGTACAGCTATACACCTTTTTCAAGGACAAGGGCTCATATACACTGGAGTCGCCCCATGCTACTCACAAGTCTTCTCTTGTCCCCATATGGTGCTAACTTGGGACCTCAGAGCAGTATCTCAGCATGGCAGCAACCTCAAGGGACACTCCTTGGGAGCCATGGCTGCTCTTGGAGGAGCCCAGGGATCTCTCTTAACTTCCTTGAGTGCACTGACTCCAAGAGCTAACTTAAAGTCTGCCATTGTCCTATGATCCAGAGCAAGATGGTGTCCAGTGAGAACCGAGGGCATGCTGGGAACTGACTCAATTCGATGTAAGTGATTTCTCATTACTGAAGTCCGGAAATACGTTGTTTTGTCCTCTACAGACAGTAACCTTCCCCTAATAAAGTGTGTCTGACATTACACTTTATTGGTGTGGTTACAAAAAGAATGTTGTAGACTTAGAAAAACATAATAATTTAAAGAATGACACATTTCAGCAGAGAAATAAAGTAATGGAGTGCTTTGAAAAGAAGTGAAACCATAGGAAGCCATTATCTCACTGGGATAAACACTGTACAGAATTCTTACAAAAAAAGGGGAGTTGAGCTTTAGGATGAGTGTGTGTGTGTGTGTGTGTACAGATAGAAAAGTGATCCTTCTGACTTATTAATTTATTTTTGAGACAGGGTCTCTCTATGTAGTCCTGGCTATCCTGGAACTTGCCATATAGACCAGGCTGGCCTTGAGTTCAGAGATCAGCCTGCCTTTGCCTCCTGGGTGTTGGGATTAAATGCATGTGCCATGGCACCGGCCTTTCTCTGACTTTTGACATACACGTGTGATGATCCCTATTGAATGCAGCCATTGGCACTACACTTTGGCCCAAGATACTTCTTGGAAACCTTATTCCTTAGAACTTACATTAACATGTTTATTCCTTAGTAGCCACTGTGCTAAGGATGTAAAATCAGTGACAGTTTCACCAAACTCTAGATGCCATGTTCCTACTAGAACCCTTGAGTCAAATGTTTCTGTTACAGTGAAGGATTCAGCAGTACTCCCTAAGACACACTGTCCCAGTCGGGTGGGGGCTTCAGAGGGCTTTGTTGTCTCTGCATTAACCTCCATGCATTCCCTTAGGATGTGCTTCTCCAGTCCCTCACTGTTGCGTTGACCCAACCATCAAGTTTCCATTGCCACTTCATTACTGTAATTTTGTTACTGTTACGAATCATAATGTAAACATCTGTGTTTGCTGATCATCTCAAGTGACCCCTGTGAAACTGTCACTCCACCCCCTTTCTCACACATAACACACTTCTGAAGTTTATTTATTTATTGTTTCAAAAATCTACCCCGCCACAAACACAAGAGTAGCTATTCTTACCTACCAGTCACAGGATGAGATCAGCCACAAGCTGGGGTTCCTAGATTCCCTGATACCAAGTGCTGCAATGTTGTTTAGCGGATGTTTTTCCATCTCAGCCAGAGGACGTGGGAGAGATGGGAGACAGCCAGACTAGAATGGGTGAGCCGGTGGGGCCAGGGTGTGTTACTCTGCTCTTGGTACAGGAGAGGACGGTCCTTCAAGTGAGGTAAACGCTGTTCATGGCAGTGGCGGATGGCAAGCTCCTGGAAGCTACTCAGTAGACTGAATATGAAGAGCTCCTTGGTGACTTACAGCTAAATGTTCACTCCAGCTTCCGTGAGACTTTGCATCCACACAGAGGCTTCACTACTGAATGGATGCCACTTAAAACCATGGACTCAGTCTGTGGATCCAGTTCTTATAGGATCCAAGTTCATTTCATTTGTAAATATATTCAGTGGAGAGCAAGACTGATTGGCTGTTTTGATTAAAACAGGGTTAGAATAAATGCTGGATTTAAGCAAGTTTTAGATGGGTGCATCACTGCAAAGAGTTTTATATTTGTGATTCTACATTTACCACTAATACTATGAGAGAGAGAAGGGAAAGAGAGGAGAGGAAGGGAGTGGAGGGAAGAGGAGAGGAGAGGGGAGGAAGGGAGAGGAGAGGACAAGATGGGAGAGGAGAGGAGGGGAGTAAGTTGCTGCATGCATGTAAATATTTCCAAGGTGGTTTTTAGCAGTGTACAATTACCAGTATTTTCCCCTCTAGCACTGCGCTGTGGACACTGGCGATGTGTGTGCACTGTGGATATTACTGTTGTAGTGTGGAGCCAGAAAAGATAGCTTTGCAGTAGAGCTTGAGGATGGCACCAGGCCAGTGCCCTGAAAAATGGCAAGCATGTCACAGCTAACAGCTGGATGCAGAAATATTTCTCTTTAATTTGGATGGATAAAATTTTTTTCACAGCAGGGCACTCTCACAAGAGTACAACATCAAAGAGGGAGGGTCTGCCCAGTCAGACATCAGCTGGCTCCAGGGTGGGGCTGAATGAATGAACTGTCAGGACTTTTCCAGCATGCATGCTTCTGCCAAGTGAGAAGTTAAAGGTTCAGTGACTTGTTCACATCACAGACAAAGTCCTGATAATGGCAGCCGATTCCCCAAAGCCCTGCTCTGCTCAGCAGACAGGGATGTCTGAGGAAGACTGCAGATTGATGGGTGGCAGGCTACCACTGTCCTCAGAGATAAGGGAGAGTCATCAAATGCTGGAGGTTGTCAGGGGATCCCTAGTGTCCCGTCCTAATCCTCAGAATCACCATCTCCTCTGCTAAGTGACACTTAGCAGCAACTGACCCATAGTGTGACCAAAATACCCATTTACATCTCCTCTCACAGCCGGGTCTCTGGTGAAGACTTTGCCACCACTGGTGTTTTACAGTTCATCGACACTTTTCAACTGTTTTTCTGATTACCATATTTCAGTCTTGACTTATATGTTAGTATTATCTGCAAGCTCAACATAAACCTGTAATGATTTTCTAATATTTCTGGGATGTGATGAATGCGGATTGACAAAGTACAGTATATAGCTTTCTCCCGGCATTACTGAAAATACAGCCACTGTGTGTATAATCATTACTCATTTACTTTATGGGGGCATTTATAACTTGACCTTTGAAGTCTTGTCTCCAAATCTTAGCATTCCAGACATTCCAGAATATTCCAAAACAAAGCGGGGAGGCGTGTTACCCATTAGAAGCAACAACAATAAAAGTCAATTGTAACGGAGGAAGTGTGTTGGGGGGAAGATCACAATAAAAACACAGAATTACAAATTTGAGAAAAAATAAAACTGAGCACAAACAGTGTGAGCACACTAGCTGGTACTTAATGTACACTTGTGCTGTGGAATAGGCTTCCTCATCCTTCTGCCTTCTTTTTTTTTCCCTAATGTCACTGGCCATTCTGGCACGCTGCCAATGGAAGGAGAGTGGTTTTACACAGCACTGGGGATTTATGTCTTCATCTATTGCATGGTTTCTGGTTGTGTAAATTTTACTAACAGATTAAGTAATTTTCACTAAATTGACATTTGCTCTGAAAATAGGGATTTGTTTGATGAATGGCGTTATTAATCATTGTGAACATAGTTATGACCCTCATTTGGAAAACTTTAGATGCTTTTAAAGAAAAAGCCCCGCTGTTTTCCCCTGATAGGACAAGTGGGATATGATTTAAAAAAAAAAAAGCAACAACACAGCGGCCTTCTACCAACCATAAGGTTGCGGATGAGTCACGCATCGTTCTTAGCACAAGATTGTTTTTGTACCTTCTAAAAATGTTATTGTTGGTATGGATGTGTGTGTGTGTATACATGTGTATACTTGCATGTGCATGCACAATCACAATTGTGTGTGAATGCAGATGCGTGCATGTCACAGAACTTGTGAAGGCCAGAGGACAACTTCCAAGTTTATTATCTCTAAAACTGAACGATATCCCCAGCCCCCCTCATGGATGAGATTTAAGAATCAAATTAGCATGGTAGAGACTAAAATGCCATAAGATTTATGACTTGGTGACTGACTGTGTTCCTCTTTCTCTATGGAGGGGAAGGTGTCTTCTCTCATTTCAGAGGAGTGGGCTGACTTTCCTTATCTGGAATGTGTGGAGCCAGAAATTGTTGAGATCTCAGGATCTTTTGGATTTGGGAAGTGTTACATTGGTTTCCTCGTGGAGCAACCCTAATCCAACATCCACAATTTAAAGTGCCCTAAAATCCATAACGTTTTCAAGCATTCACATAATATTAAAAAGTTTCATATTTTGGAACTGTTGTGGATTTTTAATTTTCAGGTGATGGGTGTTCAATCTGTATGACTCTGTAACCTCTCTTCTCAAACCTTGATCTGGCTCCATTAGAGAGAGGGCTCAGTAGTTAAGAATGCTTAACACACAAACATGAGAACCCCATCATCCGTGTTACAAGCCGAGACTAGACTCAGCAGTCCTGTGGTTACCTGGAACCCCAGAACTGATGGGCAGAGACCTTGCTCATTTGGACTTTCTGACTTCCTCTCTAACCAAAACAGTATGAGTTGTGGGTTCAGGGAGAGACCCTTTCTCAAAGAATAATGCTGAGAATAGTGGAGGAGGGTCTCTAGTAACGGCCCTTGGCTCCCAGTCTACACACTCTCCCACACTTAAGTGTGTGTACCTTAATGAGAGGGTTCAGGGAGGGAGAGCATGAACAAACACACAGGAGACTAGGAGCCACACTTGGGGGTTCCTGGTGTCTTCCTTGGCGTGGAGAACTATGCCAAATCCTTATGCATTTGAGGCTCTGAGCTGGAACTCACACATGTCCCTGCTCCCAGGTACGTTTGATCATATACAGATTGCTGCTTGAGTAAAGTGAGTTCATGGAAATATAAAATACTGCTCAGGGGCTTTCTGTGATCAATATATCAGTGATCACTTATCCTGCCTTGTAGCTGATGTACAGGGAGGGAGATATTGGACTCCCAAAGCCACCACTAATTAAAATACTTGTGATCAATACCTGTTAGTTTCAAGTATGTCCCAGGAATGTTCTTAAAGATGTGGGTGTCTGTGTGAATGGCAAGGTATCCTGTCAAGCTTAAAATAATTAAATTTGGGAATACAAACTACAGGCCTGGAGACAAATTTGTATACTGTTTTCTAGACTGTAGTTACTTTAGTGCAGCATTGTCATATGTACTTTTATTTTGTACGTTGAAAATTATAAGTATGGGTGTTATGTCTACAAGTAGACATAACCATGTGCTTGCAATGTCCACCAGAAGAGGGCATCAGATTACCTGGGCCTAAAGTTAAAGACAGTTGTGAGCTACCATGAGGGTACCGGGAATGGAACTTGTGTACTGCAAAACCAGCCAGTGCTCTTAACTGCTGAGACATCTCTCCAGCCTCCTATACCTTTACTTTTAAATAGTCTCACCTGAAAGATAAAATATAAACAACTATTTGACTTTTATACCCCATTTGACATCCTAAGTCATCTCCTCATTCTTTTTAGTATATGAAAAGTGTGTATAGTTAAAATTTTAAAACCACGAAATACATTTATGCTTTCAATGAGTGTGTGATCTGATCATCTTGGGAGTAATGCATCTGTATATGCTAATACAGATATTATCTTAATTTTTTTAACCCAAGTTCTCACACATGCTAGACAGAGCATTCTATCACTGAGCTAGACATCAGCCTGCTACACATATATTATGGCCACGATTCACTAGCAGATCATTAAATTTTGCCTGGGTAGACATTTCCCATCAACTATAATGCTGGTCTAAGGATACCTAATGTTCCCTGAGTGGTCCCTGGGTGCTAAGCCTTTGCACATACTTCCTCATTTGATTTTCATCTTGGTCCCTAGAGTAGGGACCTTATTAGCACCCTCCCTCCACCCCATTTCTCAGATTTTTTGAGGTTGAACAACTAACTACCCAATGTCACATCATGATGGAGCCATGACTGTAACTCACATGGTAAGGACACCCCAGGCACACCCCTGTGATCACCCCTAACTACACAGACTCATACAATACATACTTTCACCTGTGATACCTAAGAGTTCCTCTGCCAACTGTATGTTGAAAGTAAAACCTACTTTTCAGTAAAGGTGTCCTCTCCATCAGCTGTGAAGAGATTGATAACAAACGCTCACAGGTGTCCCCAGAGCACCCCTCGCCCCTTCTCCCGCCCACACTCTAATCACCACAGAAAATTCACCTGCAGTTCAGAGTGTCTGAGACGCTGTCTTCAAAGAGATGGTCTTCAGAGCCCGAGTTCCAGCCAGGTTCTTTGTATTTAGGAACAATTTCTTCCGAACCCTTGAATAAGATCCACGGTCTTCATGAAGCTGTGCTTCTGGTCAGTCAGAGACTGACTTGGATGCTTGAGTTGGATGCTTGCGTATAAAATGTTCCCTCACCTCAGCTGCTTGGGCAAAGCTGAAAGAGACTCAACAACCAAATGCCAGGGCCCAGGGCCTCCTCAGGGAAGGGAAGAGACAAGGTTGGGGACAAGGATATAGAGTTGAGAATGTCTCTCCACACTGTGAAAACTGGTTAATCCCACAGTCCAACTCCAGGGACTACCTTTATTCCTTATTCGGACAAAACTGCGGCACTGGGGTATTGCAAGGAATGAATTCACTATTTGTAATTCAGGTTTCTTTAATTCAAAGCTACTGGACCTCTTCAGTGCACTCTCAGAATTAAAAAAAAAATGGAGGCAGCCCCCACTCAGGAAAGGAGAGGAGGTGAACTGTCAGGTGGTCTGCCACTGTCCAGCCCTCTCACAGGGAGTGCTTAAATCACTACCTTTTGGGACTTTCCTTTTGTCTCAGCTGACCATGTTGGGACAGATGGGCACTGAGTTTCCTGTGCTCTAGATTTACCATTTTAAGAATCCTTTTAAGTGTTTTAGCAGAATTGCTTACTCTTCCTGCAGGCCTTATCCTCCACAGGAAATGGTCTCCTTGTGGTTTTCCATATAGTGTTCCATCCCCAACCCCCAGTCAATACAGGACTTCTCCAGATACCTCAGGAATGGTCTCAGGGAGCAGTGCTGTTGCTTCCAATAAGCTATCCTTCTTCAGCCAGGACATTGGTACTGCTTTTAACATTTCTCCGAACCTCCCTGACTCCCTCTCTCCCTCCCTCCCTCTGTTCTTCCCTCCCTCCCTCCCTCCCTTCCTTTCTTCCTTCCTAAGGACTTGTAGCTCAGGCTGACCCTGTAGTGCACCTGCCTCCAACTCCCAAGTTCTGTGCTTACAGGCTCACACGTACCACAGTGCTCAAGACTTCATTGAATTAATCACAAGGTATTCTATCTTAAAAAGATACTTAAAACCTGTGCTGATAAAACACGTGTGTGTGCGTGTGTGCACGTGTGCATGTGTGCATCCGTGCGTGCGTGTGTGTGTGTGTGTGTGTGTGTGTGTGTGTGTGTGTGTGTGTATGTAGGAATTTTCTCCCTTACTCTGGAAGGACAAGGCTTCTGGGCAGTACCAGAGTGACGGATATTTGCAGCATTTTTGGGCTGTTACTTCAAGGTTCTGGTAAAGTCATGGCACTGATTCCCCTGTAGCTGTGGTTGCCAGTAAGTGCTAATGGAGGCCCAACGGGTAGGTAAATTACTGGGAGCATTGGTGAAGTCAGTGTCCCATGAGCCAGTAAGATGTTCTAGGGATTGGGAAGCCTGGAGGGGGACACTTTTCCTCAGCAAGATTGGGGACCTGCTTTGCAATTTTCCAAGAGAAGTTGAAAATCAAATTAGTCCACATTTTAAAAAATTTAAACACTTGGTAAGCAAAATGAAGTTGTGAGTGGCTCATTTGCCCATCTTGCTTTACCCTGTTCATTCAGATTTCTCGTCACTAGAAGTCCAATGCGCTATCCATTGCGCCACAGAGCCACATTTCATTCAGATTTCTATCGTTCAGAAGGTGGTGTCTTCCTATTAGTGATAAAATGGATCCATTTCTGGTTTGACTGCCCCTATGCTCTGCATTGTAGTTATCCCCGCTGGTGGCATTCACGAGTGGCTAAGCTGTAGTCAAGCTACTTACTGTTACCAGCAATCATTATAGTCCAACAGTGGCATGCATCTTCCTCCTAGGAAAACATAAGCGTAGAAGAGAATGGCTCTTCCGATACCAGGAAGGTGACACTGTGCCTTTCTTATGGAGGTTTGGAGTGAGAGAACTTGTGTGATCTTTATTGTAGCCACATGCGTGGTATTACAGCTGGTATTGTGGAATCGAAAACTTAAAATCCCCATTAAAAGTAAGAATTAGCTCTGCCATTACTCATTTTGCTATTTCTGTTGATACAAGATAGAAGAGATGCACAGGTCAGAAGCAATCGTTTTAAAATAGCAGCAGCAATCACAAAGGAAATCAGAGTCGATAATTTAGAGATATGTATTACAGGCGTCTTCCCAGGGCGTGCACACAATGCAGACACATATTACAAGCTTCTTCCCAGGAGGGTGCACTGATGAACTCCTAACCTCCTGCAACAGGCAGCCCCTTTGTCTTAGCAACACACACACACACACACACACACACACACACACACACACACACACACACGCGCGCTGAAAGCACAAGGAAACAAAGGCACAGGTTTCTATGTCCTATTTCTATTTTTCTTCTTTCTTTGATCAGAAAGCAAAGTAGAATCTTGGGTTGGAGCAGAGTGGGAGTCAGTGCTCAGCCAATGGGAGTCCTTGGGTTTAATCTCTAGTGTGAAAACAAAGGAAAAAAGGGGAAAGAGAAAAAAGAGTCATTGTGCAGATATCACTTATGTACCAAAACACTGACCAGGAGTCAACACTTTGCCATATTTGTTTCAAGAAACGAAGTCTTTGACGTGTAATGTCATTGTTTCCCTCCAGCGTCTAAGCTTCTGAAGGTCCCTCTCTGAGGAGTGTGTCAGGGATAATTTTCATGTAGCACTTTGGAGCTGGCTGTGTATATGTACATATGCTTGCTATACATTACAGTAGGTACCGCCATAACATGCATGACTTAGAGAGTTATTTTGTATGTTTTAGCAATTGGTAGCATAATGGATTGCCACTGGCTTTTCTCAGTCTACATTATGTTTTTAATATTTATCTCCTAATCTAATTCATTAATTTTAAATGTGTTAAACAAATGCTTTTCTAGTAGATAAGACAACTGACTCTTCCAATGATAAGATATTTCCATTATTTCAAATTCTTTTTAAAAATTTATTTATTTTCATTTTATGTGCATTAGTGTTTTGCCAAGGATGTCAGGTCCCCGGGAGCTGGACTTACAAACAGTTGTAAGCAGTCATGTAGGTACTCAGAATTGAACCTGGGTCCTCTGGAAGAGTAGTCAGTGCTCTTAACCACTGAACCATCTCTGTAGCCCCCTCTAATTCTTTGTTGAATGCCTTTGAAACCATCTCCTGAATTCAGCAGAATTTCAATGGGGGTAATTCTCTAGATGTGAAATTGCTAAACCATAGGAAACAACCATCCCCATATTTATTGAGATATTGTCAAGTGTCCTCCAATGTGGCTGTGCTGTAGTACTCTTCACTTGGCAGTAGGGGAACTGGCTTTTACATAACAAATACTAAATGAGCCATTCTACAGTTCAGAGTCTCCATTACAGAATTTACCCCCACCCACCTCTGACCAGGTGTCCTGTGTTTCTTTTCTTGCAGTTCCCCTACCTTGAGAGTTATCTGCTTCACTTTAGAAAAGAACAGGGAAAATATTGAAATGCTGTTCATTTTCATTCAGAATAAAGGGCTCCTTTTCTGGCAAGATTGTGCTGCGGTGGTTGTTTTTTGCAGAATGAATCTTTTTCCTAATCTAAAGTTAACACTCAAGCCTCTATGCTCTCCCATTGAATGAATAAACAACTTCTGACCTTTCCAACGTTTTCACAGGTCCTAGGGGAGTTGTCTAAACACTTGGAGCATTTAAAAAATTTCCCCTGCTTATTTAAAATCTTTTGAAAGATAGATAATACAAGCCAGTAATTCTGGGTCTTGGCATAGTTCGTCTCCCAAATTCTTTGTGTTTGGGGTGCCTATCAGGTATCCATCTCAAAATTTCATGGTAATGTCCTGCAAATATGGGTGTCAGTTCAGCCTTTGAGAACAATTTCCTGTATTTACAGCTGTAGCTGCAGGCCGTTGATGCATCTCGTTGGGCATCCCTTTAGCTTCTTTCTGCCTAGAAGAGGATGGCTGCAGTCTGGGAGATAGCTACACACAGATTTTGTTTAACCAAGCTCTTAAATGTTACCAAAGCTAACTGACCATAGTGAATAACAAAACACACATTTGTTGCCCCATCTCTTGGAGATGTCTTTAGTCTCTGTTTAGCACTCAACACTTGCACACCCCTCTTCCGGTTTTATGCTCTTTGTGCTAAGGAAAAAACATAGGCATCAGAATTTTCTGACTCATTTTGGCTCTTACAAGAAAGGCTGCATTTAAATGTTGGCTCTTAACAGCACAGACCACAAAGAGCTCAGGGCTGTCTTGAGACAAGTGCAAAAGCCCTGAGTTCTGGGATCCCAGTAGCCACGGAGGAGATACTGGTCATATCAGTGTAGTAAGCCCCTTTAAGGGACCCCACATGTGCTGTACAACCCGAAATGTATACAATTTGTGAAGGACCCACCCCTACCCCAGGTGTCGGGCACAGAGGTATAGTTATATCCATATTTTAAGGTTTGCACTGGCAACAGCTTAGATAATACCTTAGAGATCCTATAAAGATGGGTCAAGGGGCTCTTGCCCCATTTCCAGCAGGAAAGGAAGTTAGCTAGGGTGCTTACAGTGGAGAGGGAGAGTTAAATGCCCCTAAGAGCCGTTAGGAAGGAGATGTGCTTGGGTCTGGTGGTAGCCGTGCTTCGAAGCTCGAGAGCAGAGCCAAGGCCAGATGAGTATTTTCCATACTAAGCATGCAGTTAGGAGACTGAAGAAAGTATGCAGCAGCATCACAGTTTCATGTGAAATATTGCAATCAGGGTTGACCAAAGCCTGGAAGGCTTGGCCTAGTACCGCGTGCTGTCTGTCCGTCCACAGGGTTAGTGTCCCTGGATGCTGAGGACCCTAAAGAGGACTGCTGTGCGCACTTCTTGGGGGTATTTTGTAGTAATTATTGCCAGCAGCCTCTATGCAAGTTGTCTTTGTGGGGAAAGGGAAAAAACCAATTTTATTCCTCTAATTATCAATAGTGGTGTCGCGGTGCAGGACAGTTTCGTTCTATCTCTCTGACTGGTGACAGTAGGCTTAGTGGCGAGATTTTTGAATGTTACTTGACTGACTGTCTTTAAAAAAAAGGAAAACAACAACAACAAACATATACAACAACAAAAACAGTCAATGTGATGTACTCTAAAGTGGTGTCTGTCTTTAGCTTGCTGCTCAGCAGATGCATCCACCGGGTAACATGTTTCCATTTTCTGTTGTTTTCCCAAAGCAAGGAATTGGAAAAGTATTTAGCCCCAACTGTAACCCAGTCCAGGGACATTTTCCTTCCTTTCAGCTTGAATTGATTATCAGCTGTGATCGTCTTGGTGTGGCTGTCAAGTCCTAAATTCACAGATGATTGTGTTTATTGGACTAATGTTTGCCTTTTATTGGGGAGCAATGGAGAGGCTGGGGGAGGAGACAATATCAGGAAAAGCAGGGAGAGTATTCAGTTGCTTTAAAATAATGGGTGAAAGTAAAAAAAAAAAAAGCCCAGGGTCCCTCAGAATAGAAACACTCATCTGAATTAGCATGAATGGTCACACAATGAGGTTTCCTCTGGAAGATTTATTCTGAATGTTTACTTGGATAAGAAAAGTGGGAGAGCTCAGAAAAAGAGGTGTGGTTTCTCAGGATGCTCTGCGGAACTGTCAGCAACTCTCAGGAGGCTGTGTTGACGCTATTCAAAATATACTTAATTTTCCCCTAGTTTGGTGACACAGAGTCTCTTACTGGAACCAGGAACTTGTCATATGGCAGGCTGATAGGCCATCAGGCCCCAGAGGTCTGCCTGCCTCTGCCTCTGCCTCCCCAGCGGTAGGATTACAAGCTTGCACTACTCTACCCAGCTTTTTGTGTGGGTGCTGGGGATTTAACTCAGGTCCTCACATTTC